GTGCTTAGCTCTCTCTTCCCTAGAGTTCCCATAAAATGTTGGATATTCTGCCCCATCCTATTTCTTTGGCACCAGATTTTCCATGCTGTTAAGCCTCAGGCTATGCTGTTGCTAGTCAGTAAAGATTTACGTTTGTGTTCCGAGTGTGCATTTCCAATTCCTCATCCCTAATTTATATCTTTTTATATGTATAGCTGAACATCACAAATTGTGTTTTGTTCAGATCACTCTGTTCATTTTAAGCTCTAAAAAGCATCATTTTTCAAACAGCTAAAACTCAGATTAGTACTGCCTGTTCTTATGAGCTACCTCCCTGCTTAGCCACATCTTTCTACATATCAAGTGCAATAATTAAGTGCATATAAATATGTGTATGGGGGTTTTTCCCTAAAGAGAGGCGAGATGAAGTCACCAACCACACGAGCAGCAGCTGAGTCAGAGAGGCCAAATCCACATTATACAATTGTGCTGAGCTGGCTGCAGCAGTGGGCACAGCACCACAGTCCTGCTCTAGTTGGGTGGCAGCACAGCCTCACTGAGTTGTTCAGGTTGGAAAAGCCCTCTGAGATCAGCAAGTCCAGCCATTAACCCAAAACTGCCCAGTCCACCACTACACCAGGTCCCATCTGAGGAGTGATTGTGGTGTCGTGCCAGCAGAAAAATCACACAGGGTCACAGAATGGCTCAAGCTGGAAGGGACCACAGTGGCTCATCTGGTCACACCTCCCTGCTCAAGCAGAGCCAACCCAGAGCACGTGGCACAGGATTGTGTCCAGTTCTGGAATATCTCCAGTGAAGGAGAATCCACACCCTCTCTGGGCAGTCTGTTCAGTGCTTGGTCGCTCACACAGGAAAGTTCTTCCTCATGTTCAAGTGGGACTTACTGGGCATTAGTTTCTGCCCATTGCCTCTTGTCCTACTGCTGGGCACTACGGAGCAGAGCCTGATCCATCCTCTGACTCTTCCCTGCAGATACTGAGAGTCAGTGATGAGGTTCCCTCTCAGTCATCTCTTCTTGGGGCTGAACAGCCCCAGTTCCCTCAGCCTTTCCTCCTAAGAGAGATGCTCCAGTCTCTTAATCATCTCCACAGCCTCTGCTTGAACCCACTCCAGGAGCTCCATGTCTCTCTTGTCCTGAGGAGCCCAGAACTGGACACAGCACTCCAGATGTGCCTCAGTAGGGCTGAGCAGAGGGGCAGGATCACCTTCCTGCAATGCTCTTCCTGCTGCATCCCAGGATCCCATTGGGTTTCGTGGCCCCCAGGGCACACTGCTGGTCAGGGACAGCTTGCTGTCCACCAGAAAACCCCCAGGTCCTTTTTTGCATAGCTGCTCTCCAGCAAGTCAGTCCCAGGTGCTGTACAGGTGTGTGGGGTTATTCCTCCCCAGGATCAGGACCTGCAGTGGCCTTTGTTGAACTTCAAACAGTTCCTCTCGTTGGTGACAAGTGGTGCCAAGGTTGATGTACTGCCAATGTCTTTGTGGTCAGGGCAGCCAAACTCCTTCTAAATGCTCAGTGGGGAAATGTGAACCTGCTCATGGTGCCTGTAGAGGTCACTCAGAGAGCACTCAGTCCATCTCACCCAGTAATTAAATGAAACTATGGCACTGCTGGACTCTAAAAAAAAACCCTGAATGTCTTTTTTTAGTTCTTTGCTCTGTTTCTTTTGCCAAATATGGGAGCTCAGTGCTCTCCTCTCCAGTGCACTTGTATCCTCCACCTTCCAGCAGACTGGGTTGCAGCTATCCAGGGATGGGAGGAGTAAATCTGCACATTTTTATTCCAAAACTAGGACTAGTTTTCCACTAGAAACTCTTGCAGGTAGTGGTAATGGCAACAGTTTGTTTCTTCATGTCATGATGGTCTTCTGGAAATAGGATGTCTGAATTTGCTCCTAAACAGAATTTAAGTTTAGATCGAGGTAAAAATTTAAGCCTCATGTTGTCTAGATCGAATTCCCTAATATTCCAGTGCTCTGCAAGGACCCTGCATCCCTCAGAAGGTGGCAGAGGCTTTACTGTTGTACTTGGAAGTGAAGGAATGTTTTGGACATAGTTTTTAAAAATACCTCCTGAATCCTGCATGAAAAGGTCATTAGAAGATGAATATAGAAATCATATAGAATCTTAATAACTGCAGCTTAATTAAGTTTCACATACATATGGGCAGTAATGATTTTTCCCAAAAGCTTCTGCCTTTTTGTGGACAAATCAGGGTGTTCTGCAGACCAGTAAATCCCTCAATTTACACTGGTCAATCCCAAAGCCATAGTTCTATCTCCTGAGCTGTGATTCTGAAGGCAAGCAAACTAATAGCTGGAAAAAAATGCTAGGAAAAAAAGAAATAAGGGGATTTTTTTTCCATTTAAGCTTTGGAGCAGTTACTCTGGAATAGTTCCTGCTGCTGTTGGAGTTATTGTGGAGAAGGTTGTTAGTTGTGGACTTCAATCCCTCTTTGCATTTGGCCAACACAGCAAGAGGTTGCATTGGGGATGGAAGGGAGGGAGCAACCTCACAGCCTCAGACTGAGTGTTTCTGACCCAGCCCAGAGGAAAAACAAGAGCAGAGCAGGGAAAATTAGCCAAAATCCTGCAGCTGAAGGAACCGAGGCCAGGAGGTACGTGATGACTGACCAGCAGGTCTGTGCAGGAGCTGAAAATGAGCCTAGAGGAGTAAAAACCTTGAAATCTGCTCTTTTATGGTCATTTACTGGAGTACGTGTCCAAAGAGCTCAACATCTGGCATTGCTAATTAGTGATTTTGCACTGATCTTGGGAGCAGTTGACATTGTTAGTGTGGTCAGAAGAGTTTCACAGCACCGTTCGCTGTGCAGCTGCTGAACGTCCCACGTGGCTCTGTGGAGGTCTAGGGGCAGAGTAGATGGTTTGTGCCCAGTCTAGATGTGTGGAGACTTAAATCTCTACATAATCTGGGGGCTTGGAGAGGGAGGGGGAAGTAAAACCTCTATACAAGCAGTTCAGAAAAGAGTCATGATAATAAACAGGGAAGTCCAGTAACACCCACCAGTCACCCATCACCACTGAAATAATGCTGCTCTTGGCTCAGCACCTCAAGGTTTGTTGCTCTCTGGGTGCTCACACCTGCTGTTGAGCTGGCAGAGCTGGGGCTAATGGACCCTGCATTCAATTAAGGGCTGTCAGAGGTGGGTGGGTGATGGATGGTGCTGACTCCCATCACTGCCTCATGCTCCAATGTCTCTGTTAAATTGCTCGGGAGAACCTCACGCTTGCTCCAAAATATTCAGTCTGCTACAGCTGGCTGGATTGCTGTGTAAAAGCTTTTTTTTTTTTCCCCTGACTTGCACTGAAAATGCAATGTGTTGTAATCAGCTATGTGATTTTTTCAGTGCCTGTAGTTTAGCAGGGAATGTTGTTCTGCTGTGTCCTGGTTGCTCTGCAGGAGCTGAAGGGGAAAAAAGGGATAAGAAATGAAATGAAAAAATAGAATTCGTAATGCAGAGTTGTTCTTTATTTCCAGGATTTGTTTTCCTTTAAGGCTGTTAAAAACTCCTCCTACATTTGCACACACTTCTGTGTCATTGGGGTAAGGATCTGTGATGGCTCCAGTACTGAATTCAAGGCCTTGTAGAGTTGGGTTATTTTAGCACAAATTTCCTTGTGAGATGTCTGAAAGTACTTGAGGCTCTTTAATCCTCCAAATAATATCTGTAGAGCTCTTGTTAATTTTGGATGAGGAAAGTTGGATGGACACACATTTCTCAAAGTTGTTTGCTCAGACTAAAAGCAGAGGCAGCAACGAAAATTAGTTGGTGTGTTAGAAAGATGCATCATATTAGCATTTTGAGGATTTTTTCCTTCTTCAATTCTGCCATCTAAATGTCTTACAATAGAGAAATAAAAGCACAGCTTGGATCAGTAGTTTTCCAACACATGGTGTAAGGTGCACGTTCCAATATCTCTGTTTAGAGAGTGAGTCACAGGTCTTGAAAGCATATGATAAAAATTAGGATTTTTAGACTCTACTTTCATCCAGATGCCCTGAAATAATTCCTGCATAAGACTTGTTGAAGTAATCCAGCTGAAAATCTGTCTGGGAGGAGATAGCCCTTTATCTAGCAAGGGCTAGAGTTATTCTGGTGGAAAATAAATGGCTTCTTTGGTCTCAGCATGAATTTGGGGACAGAGCCTCACTTTTTCTGTAGAAGGTTGTGGTTCTGTTGGTCTTGGAGAGATGACTTCAGCTAGCTTGGGAGAGGAGTGTGAAATGACAGGACAAGAGGGAATGGCTTTCTACTGCCAGAGGGCAGGGCTAGATGGGGTATTTGGAAGGAATTCTTGGCTGTGAGGGTGGTGAGGCACAGGTTGCCCAGAGGGTTTTTGGCTGCCCCATCCCTGGGAGTGTTCCAGACCAGGTTGGATGAGGTTTGGAGCAACCTGGGCTAGTGGAAGGTGTCCCTGCCCATGGCTGGTGGTGGAGTAAGATGAGCTTTATGATCCCTTCCAACCCAAACCTGCTGTGATTTGACAGCAGGCCTGGAACAGGGGTGCTAGAAGCCTTGATGCTCAGCACACTGTGTGTCCTTGGTCAGCCTGGGCTGCCCCACAGCTAACCTGTGTCTGAGCCAATGTCTGGGGCATCAGAAACTGGAGATTGCTGTGTGCTCCCCTGTGGTTTAGGTCCTTGCAGCAGATCTTTAGCATTTTCTTTTGCATCAAAGGAAGCATTGATGGCACGTTAGCAGAAGAGATGTGTTGTTAAATGGTTGGTAAATGCATCAGTTCCCACAAAACCACTTTTGACTTTCACCTTTTCTCCTACCCAATATCATTATGTCATCTGTGGAATTTTTTTTTTTTAGGAGGAATACAGAGCAGAAGGAATTAGCTGGCACAACATCGACTACATAGACAACTCCAGCTGCATCAACCTGATCAGCAAGAAGCCAACAGGCCTGCTCCATCTGCTGGATGAGGAAAGCAAGTGAGTAGGAAGCTGCTGGCTCTGTGAATTATGTTTGCTTTTGACTGAAGAGGGTGTTTATCCTTCAGACTTACCTCTTGTGTTTCTCCCCAGAAAGGTGCTAATAGCTCTCTGGGCTGATCTGTTTCTCTGGTTTGGTTTTTGAGGTGGTAATGCAGATGGTGAAGAATCAGCAAGCTGAGCAAAAAAGCCTTAACAAATAATAGTTCAAATTCTTTTTTCAGAATTTCTTCCAGTAAAAGGAAAGGAAAATGTCTCCTTCGCTTCTCTCCTCATTTCTCTCTCTGTCTTTTGTGGTGTAACAGCATGAAGATGCTTGAAATTGAGCTGAGTGAAGGGAGTAGCCAAGAGCATGAGCCAAAACAGGTTTTGTAGGTGCTGTTATTGGGATATGAGGTGGATTTATCAATTTACTGTCAAAATGAAGCCAGAGAGCACTGGGCTGCATTCCATAGAGTTTCGTGGGCATCTGGGGTGCAGCTCAGATTTTCCTCCTTGGTTACAGCTCAGTAAGAGTTACCAGGTGAGTGTGTGGCTTCTGGGTCTGCCCTTGAGTGGAAGCTTTGGGGCAAAGTGTTTCTCCTGTCAGACACTCTTGCCAGTTCTCTCCATGTGAAGGGCAGGGAAAGCCCAGGTGGTTTTGCTGAGGTCTCCTCAGATCCGTGTGGCTCTGACCCAGGGCACAAGCTCTCCTCCCACTTTTTGCTTGGAGGTTTCTCCTCTGCTGCTTGTCTTGTTGACCAGACACCCAGCAGTGCTGCTCTCCCAGAGCTACTGTATCAGGCTAAAACCCCTTGAATTAGGTCTAACTGTGAAATTCACCTCCAAGCTGCAGATTTACACAAAGTTTGAGGATGGAGAATTGACTTGCTCTTACCAAGAGGCACTGCTCAAGCTGGCACAGAAGTAGAAGCTCAGAATATCTGTTTTCCCATTTGTGGCCAAGAAAGAAGTGTAAAAGGTTTTTTTTTTGTTGGATTTACAGCTGTTTTCTTTTTAATTCCTTCCACTCAGTTTTCCTCAAGCCACAAACCAGACGCTGCTGGACAAATTTAAGCGTCAACACGAAGGGAACTCCTACATTGAATTTCCAGCAGTCATGGAACCAGCTTTCATCATCAAACACTACGCGGGCAAAGTGAAGTACGGAGTGAAGGTCTGTCACCCAGCTGTTCCCTGGCAGCTGTTCCCACTTAAATCTGGGATGGGGAGGGAGAGTCCCAAAGGCTCCACAGAGGTGTTTTGGAGAGGACTTGGCTTGAGAAGAGATGAGAGGGTTGGGAGAGAAGTGTTTGGTGAAAGGTTTGGCTGAAGCCAACAGGTGGTGGGAATTGCATCTTCCTGTTCTCCTCCACATTGGCATTTTGAGGAGGAATTTAGGGATGTGCACTGAGGTTCAAATGGAGTATCTGGTGGCCTTTCTGGGTTTGGTTTATATAGAAAACATGAGGTTTTACTCATCACAGGCTACTTTTTCATAGAGGTTCTGTAAGCTTAGGTCCCACTGCCACTGGTACTTTCTGAAATCCCACAGGAATGATTTCCAAGTTGACCCTATTATTGGCAGAAGGAATTCTGGCAGGCAGGTGAGCCTGTGTGAGAAACAGCCTCAGGATTTACGGCTGCAAAGCTCTAACTGTGTTTCTGATGCAATAAATGCACCCGGTAAGCATCAGAGATGGTGCTCATGTTAGGTATCCAATACAGGAGCAGAACACAAAGGCAGAGGCAGGATTCAGGAGCTGTGCTGTTCCAGGGGGATAGCCTAGTACATCCTCCAGGACATACCTTGTGGATATTGTTTTATTTCCCTCTTGTCTCCCCCTCCTTTTTCTCCTTCCCTAGGATTTCCGTGAGAAAAACACGGATCACATGCGCCCGGACATCGTCGCTCTCCTGCGAAGCAGCAAGAATGCCTTCATCTGTGGGATGATTGGGATTGACCCCGTGGCTGTGTTCCGCTGGGCAGTGCTGAGGGCTTTTTTCAGGGCCATGGTGGCTTTTAGGGAGGCTGGAAAACGCTACGTGGAGAAGAAAACTGGTACGTGTGCACCCTTCTCTCCTCATCCTGCGCCTGGTTTGCACCAGCAATTTAGGTCTAATATATTACTGTAGTATTTTAAGTAGTCTGACTTATTAGGAGCCATTAATCTATTAAAAAAAACTCATTAAAATAGCGTGTAGATTTTCTACAGAAGTTACATTTAAAGGTACATTTGGCTTTGAACGTATCGTAAGAAAATATTTTCACTTTACTGCTGCTTTAAGTTTCCCTTTCTGTAGGGCGCAACAAGAGGAAAACCTGAATCATTCAGAGATTTAAATATTATCCAGCAATAAAAGGAAAATTATTTTTGTAAGAGTTCTCGAACCGTTAGTTACATCTGGAAACAAAAAAAAAAAAAAAAAAAGGGCAGTATTTCTTCTCTGTCATTTCTCAAGCTGTTCACCCTTTCAGCTGCAAGAGAGCAGTGTTTCTTGTCTAGCAAAATTCATTGCTCTGCAGTCACCCAGAACCACCTCACGCCCAATGTGGGGGCACTAAATGAAAGGAAAGTAATGGTGCATCATCATGCTGTGGCAGGCAAGACCTGGCTGTGCTTTTAGACCATTTTTCTGCATAAAGCAATTTTGGGAAGACGGGTACAAGCTATTACTATTCATTTCTGGGCACAAGAGGGCTTGAAATTCATGATGAAATTAGAGCCTCAGCAGGGAAAATGTCAGCTGAGTTAAAATGAAGCACAGAGCAGCGCCATGAATTATTTTGCAATCAGCGAGGTGTGCAGCATGGAGAGCCAAGGAGCCTGGGACAAGGCATGTAGGTATGGAAACTGTACAAGCAGAAAGAATCATTTTCTTGGGAGCAAATCCCAAGGAGAGCAAGAGGCAAAAAATCAGCTTTCAGCTCTTGAGGCTCTTCCTCTCAAACTGCTCGGATGCAGTGTAAGAGAAAAGCTGTTCCTCCTGTGTCTGTTGGCACATCAAGGCAGCATTTGTGGACAGTGGTGCTTCATGACACCAAGACATAGATGCCAAAGATGTTTTGCATTGGGAGAAACGTCACTCCAAAGAGTTGGCTTCCAAAATCCATCTTTGCATTTTCATCTTGCATAAACTGAAGTGAGCTGGTCGAGGGGGTAATAAAAAAAATATGTTCAGTCTCGGAAAGTAAGAGCTAATTTCAAGCCTTGCTTCGCTTCCTGTGTCTCTGGCAATCAGTCGTGCCTGCTGCTGTGCTTGATTCCTCCCTAGCTAACCTTTTGCTTTTCAGTCTTGAGTTTGTAGCAGTAACTTGCTTATATCTCTATATATTGATATCCATATCAATATATAGGTAATAAATTAGAGTCCGGGAGGTTTTCAGACAATTCTGAGACTCAATTCTTGTGTTGCCTTCTTTTTCCATACTGAAACTAACTGAGACATGGGGATGGCCGAGTTTCTAAACCTCTTCTAGCACATGGTGTTGCTCTTTTATCTCTATCTGGTATCCTTTAGCCTGTTTTCAGATGGCTTTGTGTTTCGTATCCTCTGGTTTTTTTAGTCAGAGAAGAAACAGACCAATCCTCAGAAAGCTGGAGAAGGTTTGTCTTAAACTTCCTGAAAATCCTCAGATCATTTAGACCCTGAATTTATACGTGCATCTTCAGCCTGAATTGGGAAAGTCACAAGAACTCCCCAGAACTAGTGGGAGGAGGTTGCATAAATCTAATTCCCATACTGAGGTGCACCTTATCCATGGGAAAAGCTTGTCTTGCAAGTGGTGGTGAAGCTGGGACTACTCACTTCCTGCTGCCCCTGCCCTCTTTGGAGAGGTACCTACCATCTCCTAGCTTGGCCATCCAGGTTGGATGGGGCCCAGAGCAGCCTGGTCTGAGTGGAAGGTGTCCCTGCCTGTGGAAGGAGTTGGACCTGGGTGATCTTGAAGGTCTCTTCTAACCCAAACCATTCTAGGATTCTATGGCTTCAGGTCACACTTAGCAAGGTGAAATCCATAGCAATGTTTTCATCCCATTTTGCTGGTGAGAGCTCATGCCCATCTCTGTTCAGTTATCCTCCTCCAAAATCCTGTCTGCCTCACCAAAGCACCACAAAGCAGGTGGCTGTGGAAGAGGTGGACCTGAACAGAAGGCTCAGCCACTGTCTGGATGATGAGTTGGGCTGGTGTGGCATGATTCAAATCCTCACTGCTCCCCAAAATAACACACAAAGCCCCCAAATTGATGCTCTGCATCTATGGCAGAAAGCATTTGTGAGTTATTAAAGACTCACTGAAATTCCCCCATCTTGACAGACAGAAGCAGAGAACCAAAAGCAGGACATGTTTGAGGTGTATTTTGGGGTTTATCACTCCTTGATGGCTCTAATTAACCCAGTTTGAGCATCTAACTGCCCACAGACATGGAGCTTGTGATAAAATTATGGTGGATTAAATGCCAAGAACTTCTCAGACCTATGTTCATCCACATGTGCACACTTGGTATTTATACAGATCTTTTCAAGGTGTGCTGCCTCGTTCCTGGTGTCCAAGGTTGGTTCTGCTGTTGTGACCACCCATCAGGCAGGTGTAGTGAGCGAGCAGGGAAACACCTGAAACATGCTCTTTTAATTTAAGGCTCTTTGCATTCCTTTGTCTTAACCCCAACTGGATTTCCCTTGCTTTCTGCATCTGAAGGTCTGGTGAAGTCACATTTGTGATACCCAACAGGGATTTTCATGGAAAATCCTCAGCTTATGTGTAAGCAGCTCTGCAAAATTTTGCTCTGCTTTCTTTTTGCATCATCCTTTTGGTTATCTTTTCCTTGCCAGCAGTGCCAACCAGTGCTACGGATGCTTCTGGAAGGATAATCCACATTTTTTTCCTGCTGGCTTTGGGGACTCTCTTTTTTTTTTTTTGTACTTCTGACATCCTTGTAGTGCAGCTTTTGGTAACTGTGAGATTGTCCTCTTAACATGGAGGTGAAGAGCAGCAGAGCAGTGTCACTGTGAATTTTGTTGGGTACCTTTCTCTTCTGCCCCAGAGATGCCTCTTAGAGTGCTGCCAACCCTCCTCGGATGAAACGCGCCAGGATCTGGCGAGCTGCAGTTAGCTGAAGGGTGGAATTCTTCAGTAATTTGTTGTTTAAATGTTATTGTTATTGAGTTTATCAGTGAGGATTGAAATGGTCCAATAGAACTATGTGTTTGAACTAGATTTGTGATCTTTGATTAGAGGAACACTATCAAGCTTTTAAGGAGAGAAATTTGACTGATTGACCTTTTTTTGCTAGACCATGAATTCAGATTTGCTACACAAAATCGTCTCATTTTTTGTGAGTGAAAACTTAAAGGGAAAAAAATGGGGCTGTTCATATAAAACCAGCAGTGGAGACTCACAACTTTCTCATCTTTGTTTTGCTGAACCTAAATCCTTGCTCAGACGAAGGTCCTGGGGCTGTGCCCTCCCTCAATGGGCTCTGCAGTTGCATTTGGCTGGTGAGGGTTCTCATGGCTTAGTGCCTGTTGCAGCTGCTCAAAAATATTCCCATTGGTTTCTGCAGATTTATTCCTGAAGCTGTGCCCCAAAAGACCAACTGCACCCAAAATAATAGAAAACAGAGCCCTGAATTTGCCAAATAGCAACCAAAAATTTGGTCTTTGAGGTCTCCCTGAGCAGCACCTTAACACAAGGGAGGTGCCCCTTGAAAGTGTTCCTCTGGAAAGGTCAGATTGGTCCTTTCTGATGGTTTAATGTGTTGGTATGAAATACTTTCAGATGTGCTGACACAAGGTAACTCCTCAGAGACCTCATCACACCTCAGCGGGATCATGACATATCCCTTGTCTTGGTCACTTCAGCCTTGACAGAGGTGCTGCCTGTTTGCAGTGTCACCTCCACCCTATGGTCCAAGCTGAGCCATCAAACTCCTCTTGCTCACACGCTGATAGTTTCTTCCAACTTTCCACCTCAAACTTGTCCTCTAACTCAGGACTCTTGTGTCCTCTGCCCTCAGAGAATATGGAACCCTCGTTTGATGCAAATAATTTCTGGGTTTCCTTTTTGTTGCCAGTATCTGAGCAAAACGTGGCACTGGCATGCAAGGTGAGAATTCCAGGTGTCCATGTCAGCATCTGGGCTGGGAATTGTGGCTAATACTGGGCAGAGGCATGGAAAGGATTTTAAAAAGCAATTGGTAGAAGTAAAGATTTATCTAATAATCTACTTTTTGCCCAAATAATCTTGAAATGATTATAAACTGATTATGCTCTGGCTAATAAGGATTATAATTGGGATTGGGACGTGGTCCAGCCCATTGCTCCTGCACCATGTCCTGAGGAAACTGAGGTTAAATTGTGTCAAGCACAGAAATCGTTTGATCCTCGAGCTCTCGCGTCCTTCGGGCTAGTTCTTCCCCATCTCCTGATTTCTGCTTATGTAATCTTTCTCTTCTCTCCATTTTTTTTGTTTGTTTTTATTTTGCTTCCCAAGGGCATGATGATGCAGTGCCATGTGCGGTTTTGAAAAGTGTGGATAGTTTTAGCTTTCTCCATCACCCAGTCCATCAGAGGAGCTTAGAGATCCTGCAGAGATGCAAGGAGGAGAAGTACAGTAAGGCTCCACCACCTGCCCTTCCCTCTGATACAACACTCACACACCCAGAAATGGAAACCAGGTGTACTCAGTGTAGAAAGGGTGAAAATCAACACCCAAGGAGCTTTTCAGGACTGGACCAGCTGCCTCAGAGCAATTTTGAGCCTAATGGGAAACTATTAGGCATAGCTGGAAGAGTCAAACTAAAAGCAAACCCATGTCTCTTGAGATACCACAGCATTTTGTTGGCGGTTTCCCCATTCACTCGCCGACGTTAATGATGACTATTCCTTACACAAGGCACGTGGCTGGTACAGCTGGAATTTTACTTGATTTGAATTTCATTGGGCTTCAAAAATAACTTTAGCTTCTGAAAATATTCTCCCAGAGCTTTTACTTAAAACAGAAGCATTTGGCAATGTTGTTTTACAGAACGAGCTGAGTAAAGATGCACTTGGTCTCCATTTCTTCCTCACTCTTCTGTCACGTAATCAACTCATCCTGCATGACAACATGGACACTCTTGGCTGCACTGCTATGTTTTATTCATATATAAATAGATACTTGGTGCTCTCATGTTTAGATCTATCATTTTCCTGCCATTATTCTCTTCCTTCATGTTGCATGTTACAGCTGACAGAAATAGAGCACTGCTATGTGCAGTCCTCATGGGCAAATCCTCAGCCCAAGTTGCTTAAACATCATGAAATTTAGGTGTAAATGCAAATCATCATACTTTTTTTCTGCAGAGCTGACACGGTAAGTGCAGTAGTTGCATGTTAAGTCTTGACAAAGATGGTTTTCCTGTTAGAAACCTTCTATCAGATGTCTGCAGCACTTGGGGTTGGGGAACAGAGGTGATTTAGTCCTTCTCTTAATTTAGACTATTTTAGTTTGTCCTACGAGTTCCTACCATTGCTATAAGAAAATATAAAGGAGTAGTACTAAATTTTACCAGATTTTAGAGTTTATGAAGTGATGTTATGCCAAGTGACCTTACTGATGCTCTGAAGAAACTATTGAAAAGGAAGGTGATTATCAGTGCAGTAATTTTACTCACAGTTAATGAGTCAGTTTAATTTGTCAGTTATCTCAGTAATATGGAAGGTTTTGGGGGGGTTAATTTGCAGTTGCTCAGGTGCAAAGAAGGAAATTCATACCACTCAATAGCTACTTAGCACTTTAAAGACCTCAGAATCTTAAAACCTCACAGATTGTAGACCAGTCCACATAGTTTGGGCTTTCCTGGGATAAACCCAGTGTATGGATCCGAGAAGAACATTGCCATGGTTTGTGAGTTGGCCGAGAGCATCTCACCAGACAAACGAGTAATTCCTGTTCTGCATTCAGAAATCATTCCTGTCTTCCCACAGGGTGTGCTCCTGCTTTACCAAGCTTCCCAGCTCTGGCAGGCTAAATCAGGCTTGGAGCATGTATCACTTTTTGGTCCTGAATTTAGCAGGTTTACAGGCCCCGCAGGCAAGGATGTGCAGGCTGAGGTTGGCCCTGGGGACTTGGCTTTTCCCAGAAGTCAGATGAGGTGACAGCCATGTCATCCTTGAGAGAGGAACCAAGTAGATCATCTTCTTGCCTTGAATTGTGCAAGTAGTTCTAGCCATGAACAAAGAGAGAAAACTAAGTGATTTGATGAGTGTATTGAGATTGCCTTTAGGTCACTTGGTATACAGCTTCTGTAGCCAACTGGTCTCCCTTCCCATCTCAGCTGCTTTGCTGGTGTCTTTGAGTCCTGCCAATCTGTTAATTTATGGTCTTCCACTGGAGCAAGGCACTGGGTTTAGACACTCTGAGTTCAAGACCAAAGCTCTACTGGTTGAGGTTCATCAGGGACTACACTGGGATTATCCAAAGCTCTTCTCAATGAGGGCAGAGACCTGCCAGGCAAATCAGTCTGTCTGTCTGAAATGCTCCAGCTGGAGAAAAGGGAATTTGCTTGAAAATAACAACATTCTTTCATGCAGGGTATTAATGCATACAACTTAATAATCCATATTCACTATCAGGAATTCTCGAAGCCACGTGCGACTCATCGGCTTAACTCTTAAGACCTTTGTCCCTTTCATTTATAAAATCCCCACTCGATTTCCCAGGAAAGGGAGATCATCATCAACATGACAACTCTGATTTGGCTGTGGCATGGATGTAGTTCTTCTTTAGAGAACCAAGTAATGGCACAACGTAGAAGAGTCTATTTTTTGGTCTATCTAAAGCAATTCTCTTTAACCCAACGTGTGCACCATAACTTCTGTTAATCAATGAGTCACTTAAGGTGCTGAGCTGGCAGAATTATGATGCAGTTATCTCCATCTACTACCTGGAGGCCTGAAATAGAAATTCCCTTTTCCTGAGCAATGCAAAGTGTTTTATCTCAAGATGCTTTGAGACAACCATTTCTTCGTGACTGGTTGGATTGGATGGTGTTTTGGGCTTTTTCTTTCTTTGGTGGGGAGTGCAGGGAAGTGAAGGAGATACTGCTCCAATAAGGTGGGCATGGACTAAAAAAATATACGAAATATCAGTGAAAGCCCATTTTGATGAATGCTTTAGGTTAGAGAAGCCTTCTGTGCTTTAACAGGGAGCTAACCAGGCATATGTGCTATGTAAAAAATAGACACAGTTAGACCTTAGGTGCTTTCCTAAGATTTTTTCCAGAGAGTGATCAGGCATTGGAATGTGCTGCCCAGGGAGGTGGTGAATTCGCTATCCCTAGAGATTTTTAAGATGAGACTGGATGTGGCACTTAGTGCCATGGTCTAGTGACCACAGTAGGGTTGGACTTGATGATCTTGGAGGTCTTTTCCAACCCAGCTGATTCTATGGTTTTATGTCTCAGGGTGAAATAAAATGCATTTTCCATGTTCAGGTGAGTGCTGTGATGTTTCCTGTCTCCCAGCAGCAATTCCAAGGCAGTTATAAAATCGTTCAGCTGTTTTCATGTCAAACTCTAGATTATCAGATCTTTAAATATCTGTGGTTTAGTGGCTTGAAAAGTGTTTTGTTGTCTAACAGAATTGTCTCCTGTCTTCCTAAATGCTCAGTTACAGAACAGCTCTTTTTTGGGGGAAGATAGCAGCTTGAAACAGCTGCTCCTTGTAAACAGGAGTGATAACTTCCTTGGCTGAGTATGAAACAGATATTTTAGTTAGTATATTGTTTATTTTATTGCATAGAAATTGCTCTAAAACAGATCTCAGAGGATATAAGTTCAATGAGCAATAAAACCTGTGCGAGATTTTTTCTAGGTGTTCCTGTCCATATTAGTTGTAGGGAGAGAGGGAAGAAGTGTCTTAGGAATACGTGACCCTTTTTCCACTGGACCAATGTCCAGGTGTTTTGTCTGTGCAACTAACTGGGTTATCCCATGCACAGCGAAGAGCTCAGGAGAGTTTTGGACATGCAGAACACAGTTGGTTAGTCCCCACCATCAACTCCTTCCTTCCCCCATTTACTTACTGGCTGAGACTGGCACACACCATGCATGTGTGGGAGGGGAATTAGAGGACTTGAGCAAACAGTGTTATTCATAAGGTGATGACTCCGTGGCAGAGAGGCAGGACTTGGGAGAGATGGGTATGTTGGCATCCTTGGCTCCTGTGTATGCCCAGCATGTGCCAGGACACGTACACGCTCCTCCTTGCTGTAGTCAGGGCTAAGCTATGGCTGTGCTAATTGCCTTTTGGTGGTGAGCCAGGTAGAAACATCATCTTTTACGTGCTGCTTTAGGTATCACTCGGAGGAGCCCACGGACACCACTCTCAGATCTCCAGGGAGTCAATACCATCAACGAGAGGACCCAGCGGTAAGACCTTTGCTTTTACATTGGCACCACACGGGATCTGGGGTGGGAGAGCACTGCCTGTCGTGAGAAATTACTCTATTGGCATTTCTCGCAGCTTGCTTATCAATTTTATCTTCTCTGCATTCTTTCTCTGCCATGGGATCAGATCTAAGTAGCTTTACCTGACTAAATGGCAGGCAGGGAGAGCAGCTTCCCTGTGTTACAGCAGTTACAGGTGGGATGAGGTGCAAGAAGCTTGCCAAAAAAGTGAGTGACCATCCCAATATCAAGGCTACAACCGTTCCACACGGATGGGTTTGGGTGCAGGACTGCACACAAGCAGTGTGTGGTGGATCTAGGTGCCCTTAAGTGTGGAGGACCTGGAAGTTCTGGGGATTGAGATGGTGCCTTGGCAAATGCTTGCTTGTCTTTAAGGCAACAAAATCACATTTACTTCAAAATGGTTTGATTTTTACAGGGTTTATGTACAGTTTTAGTTTTTAGTCCTTCAGCTGGTCAGAGCATCCTCAGCTCCTAGAACAATTGCTTGGAGCTGCAGACATCCAGGTGTAACTCATGGCTGCTCTGAGTTTCTGAGAGGCCCAGAACATGTCAAGAGGAGTCTGAGACTGTCTCAGTCCTTGCATCTCAGTGGGCTTCCCTTTCACACAAAATAAAATATCCTCCAGATATATTATTAAACCTTATTTTTAATAGCTTTAATGCCAAACAGCCACGAGAGAAATAGGATACAAGTTGTTCCTTTTCTTTCTAGGGGAAGAAAAGTGGCTTTTGTTGTCTGGCTTTGTTCACCATGTGCCCTCTGAGTGCCATCAAGACTAGAATGTCCCTCTTGCTCTGACTTTCTTCCCTTTGAGAGTGGTGGTGGCACCCTGGTGAAGGAGAACTGAATGTTCAAATCCATGTTGGTTTCAGTGGTCAGAGAGGATGGGATTTACATAAAATGGTTGGATTTGGATTCATGTTTGGGCAGAAATCCATGTGGTGCTAGCAATCCCACCCTCTCCTGGGAAGGTGATACAACCCTGCTTGTCCTCACATCAATCTTGCCCAACCCTCCTTTTCTGTCTCCTGGGAGCTGGGGCTCAGATCTGTTGGGTTACACCAACAATCTCAGTCCATGGTATCACTTGGGGCAAGGAATGTTGGTGTCTCCAGAGGTGATGTTCACTGTTTCTAGCAGCTCTGGTTGCGCAAGTTTCCCTAAACATAACGTAAGGTGAAACTTTGTGCCTGTGGAGATCTTCACGTGTAGATAAGATGAGTCCTGCAGTTTCTCTAGCAAGGTTTTGGTGCATGAGGGATGTCTGTGAAGTGGGATGGGGCTTTTCCTGACTGCCCAGCTCCAGCTTTGGAAGCACATTAGTGTGGGAGCTTGGGCTGCCAGTGTTTTTATAGCCCAAAACATTTCACTTATCTCAGCAAGAGGCTGTTGTAAAGGCAGGGAAACTCCTCCCGACCCAGGCAATAAGGAGGATGTGTTTATATACTGTGAAGTTCAGTCTGTGGTCAGCTCTGTTTATGTGGCTTAACCCTCATGAGCATAGCAGACAAGTTGTCTTAAACAGCCAGAATCAAGGGTAGCAACTCCAGTGTCTTCCTTCATCATCCTCAGCAGCTGTATCTTACCAACAGCGTCAGCTTATTCCCTTGACTGATATATTTGCAGGAAATGTGCTTTGGAAGCTGTTGTAACTCCTATGTTCTTCCTGGTGTGGTGCCTCAGTAGCACTGTCTGTGATCTTTGCTTCCCTTCGTCATCATCAGTGATGGGTCCCCAAAGGTCACCTGTGCCCTTTCCTTCTGGCAGCACAAGATCTCATAAGATCTCTAAAGTGCAGCCTGCACTTTCAGAGCGGGCACATGATTCTGATACCTCCCATTGCAGATGATTTTGATCTGAAGAGTCATATCACACTCGATAAATGTTGGTATTTGAGTTAAATTGCACTTGTTGAGCAAGGAGAGTAAATACAGAGGTGCAGGTAACATGTCTAGAAGAGAGATTTACTTCTACAGCTGTTGAAGTAAATCTCTGCCAGCAGCAAGACTGGCAAGCGATTTATGGCGCTAAATTAAACAGGAATTTGCTTTCAAAGTCATCTCATGATCATGTGGTCGCTGATAAGTCTGCATTGTACATCCAACCCACAGGATAGCCCGGGGCTTGTTTCTGAAAGCAATTTTGAGGCATGACATCACACAGGAAGTCATTGTGGAGGGGTTAGCAAGCCAAGCACTCTCCTCTGATCTCAGAAGAAAGCGGATGGGTGGTTTGCACATGCTGGGGGGGTAGCCTAGGCTTCAGTGGAGCGTCAGGAAGCCACTAGTGCTGTGGAAGTGCCTTCACCAGCTGCTGGGAAATGAAAGCCATGCCATCACTAACCCAAACCACTCAGACTGGCTGGAATCCTGCTGGTTTGTGTCCACTGATGACACTTTTATGTGCAGGGATGTCTGAGCAGGTGTGATCAGTCTGTCTTGAAGCAGCTGGTTGGGTTTAGTGAGATGATTGACCTCCTAAGTACCAAAAGTCTGTGTCCATAATAAACAGACCTGTCATTTTCTCTCTTGGGTATTTCAAAGCCACATGGGAATTTCTAGGGTTCTCCTATCTCTTGTCTTGCTCAGAGTCTATATATCCACACCTAATCTCAAGCCTGAGAGGGCATTGAGGTCAGTTAGGATTAATGATGGGTTGTAGATCCCAGAAGTGGCCATGGAGGTTTAGTTGTGCCGATTAATTGGTGATTTTGTTTTTACCTTCATGCAAATAGTGGGGTTTGATGGAAGGAGCCCTAGCTGTAAAGAGAAAGAAGGGGGACAGGAGGGATCACTGGGTATTAAAGTTTCTTGCTGGCCTTCCTTGAATGGAACAGGATGCTAAAAAAAAGGAGGTCCTGGAGCACTCAGCCAGGGGGTTTACCTTGCTGTGATTCATCCCTTCTTTTCATAGTGGTACATGTAAAAATGCTGATGTAATGGGGCTAGGAAGGAATTTGGAGAGTCCTGTGGTGAGGCAGCAAGGCGACGTCGCTCCGAGGATCTGGCTCCAGGCTCTGAGCTGACTAAAGGAGCAGCTTTGCATCCTTGATTTTTTTAATTTCCACATGACACTTGAGATTTGCCCTTCCTCCAAATCAAGGCTTTAAGGCAAAGGGTTGCCTTGTAGTTAGACCTCAGAAGTGACCCATGCCAGAGGCCCCATTTAAATCTCCGTATCCCTCAGCATCCTTGTGACCAGAAGGCTGGTGCTGCTTGGAGTCTCCTCCTCTTCCTCCTGTCTGAGATAGCTCAGGGCCAGGGCTGGGGACTGCAGACCCCACATCCTTCCTTAGATGAGTTCTATTTCATGTGATGGTTTCTGCAAGGCTCCTCAGCTCTGGAAATTTTCCCGTATGTGACATTTGGTCAAGTCTCTGTTTTCGTCCCTCCAGGAGAGGATTTTGGTTCCTCTCACCATTCCCTCCAGCCCTTCTGCAGTCAGGCACACATTTCTGGAGAAAACTGAGTGATTTGTGCTCAGGTCCTAGTGAGTGATTCTGGACCAACCCATCCATCCAGCTCGGGCTGACATCCTTCTTTGTGGCCAGTAATTAGTTTTTGGAAAATGATACTTGCTTTTTCTTTTCCTAATTGATTGACTGTGTGGATTTGAGGAGACAGAGTCAGCACCAGCAGTCATGGTCCAGAGGTCATGGTGATGTCTCCTTCAGACCACCAAAGATATCTGAAGGGATCTGCAGACTCCAGGTTTCTCTCTGGGAGAGCTGGAAACTGTTACTCTCCTGCTGATAATTTGATCCTGTTATGAATATTTGATTTTTGAAAGGTGCTTAAGTAGCCAATCACTTCACACAAAGTCTGGCACCCTGGACACATCCCATGGGAGCGATTGAACGATGGAAGGAATAAAGCAGCGGCTCATTATCCCCGGATGGATTATTTTATGATCTATTTTTTATTCCATCACAGAATTGTGGGGGTTTTATCTCTTCCTAACGCTGTTTGGTGTTGCAGTGATGCCTACGCGGTCGGCTGGAATGGCCGGATGGGGATGAGGCACAGCAGGCTCACCAGCCCCGGCACCTTCCTCGACAAAGATGGGATATTTGTCAACGCAACCAACAGCAAACTGCTGGAGAGAGCCCACGGCATCCTCATGTCAGTACACAGCAGGGGATCTGGACTTTATTCCTAGGGCACAATGGGCAGCACCAAGTAGTAAAAGGAATGGAAATATCCAGGGTATAAAACTATCAGTGTTTTAAGTAGACTTGGAGGTGTTTCCCAGTTGAGTCAAAGTGACCCCAGTGTGTCAGGCACATCTGATTTATTTACCTCTTGTCATTCATTTGTAATGACAGACACAGGGAAGAAGGAGAAGGGACAAACCTGCTAGTCAAACCAGTCTCAAGATATGACAGCGATGTAACGCAGTCGCATTTTTTAACATGCTGTCCAAGTTCCCATTACAAATGAGGTGAGGGAATTATGGCAATGATTCATGCTGCAGCCTCAGCAGAAGGTTTGGAGAGCACCACCAGAGTAGCTGGTGTTAGTTAGCACAGGCTAGGAGAAGGCAGGAGGGTTGTAAGTCGTTTTGCAATGTCACTGCCTCACTCTACTCAAATTACCAGCATCCCATCATCTCCAGTGTAACAGTTCCCGTTCACTGGATACCTTCCTCTCAAACCTGTGCCACCACAGGGATAAACCCAGTGTGCAGCATGCAGGAGCAGCCTGGTTTCAGTACAGGCTATAGGTAGCAACTGCTAAAGGGGCTTTGGAAAGGCTGGTTTCATGAACTCCTCTGTTCCACAATTGCATGCATGGATTAACCTGAGCCATTTGTTATCTCCCCAGGCGAAATAAGAACTTCAAAGCCAAACCAAGTCTCCCAAAGGTGAGTGAGAAGCAGCATTTTTCCCTTGCTGGTTACAGCTGTAGGTACAGTGATGAGATGCTGATGGGTGTGAGGAAGACCACTCGTGTCTGTGTCAAGACCTTGGTCTACTCAGCTCTTTAATTTATATAAACCCAAAGGATTTCAGACCTGATTTATGTTGGGGGAGAGAGAGGGATGAGCACTTGCATCCTCCTTGGAGCTGCTCTGGCTCTTTTTCCCCCTTCTCGGAAGGATTACATACATGCTGGTGAAATTTGATAGTTAAATCTCTAAACTAAACTGAGCAAATAGGTGATGCAGGAGAACTGGTACCTGATAGATGACAGACTTGACTAGTACTCACTTTCCCTCCATCTTGGCTGCATGTACTATACTTTAAGAGATGCCAGAGATTTGTTGTACCTAGAAGAATAATGCTTGTTGTGGTCCTTACTGCTGCTGCATCAGTGGTTGGGAGTGGAGGACCAGAAGTAGTAAACATTGGTTTTACTCCTCGCTGCACCTGGAGAGGCAAAGATACTGTTAACTGATGAACTGTTCATTAAGAGTGAAGAGATCTCAGAAGAGTTTGGGTTGGAAGGCACCTTAAAACTCATCTCATTCCACCTCCTGCCATGGGCAGGGACACCTTCCCCTAGTCCAGGTTGCTCCAAGCACCATCCAAGCTGGCCTGGAACACTTCCAGGGATGGGGAAGCCACAGCTTCTCTGTGCAACCTGTGCCAGTGCCTCAGCACCCTCACAGGGAAGCCATACCTCAATGTTTCCCATTGAGATTACTTAGGGTGGACACCTAAGGAAGCCCTGGAGAGTTGGAGGAGAGGAGGGATATAGCAGCATAACGACAAGATCTAGTTATTCTATGGGGTCTCTCTTTTTCCACAGCACATGCTGGATGTTAAGTCCCTCAAGCACCTCACGAACCTGACGCTGCACGACCGCATCACCAAATCTCTTCTTCATCTCCACAAGAAGAAAAAACCACCCAGCATCAGTGCCCAGTTCCAGGTAATCCTTTGCCTTTCCTGTAGAAGTCGATTAAAAGCAGATACCTGCTCTGGGTCTCCAGGGTTCCTGGGAGGACACTTGCAGGCACAGTCCTGTCCCATCCTCACCACTGAGGGGCCCAGAACTGAGCACAGGATTCTAGGTGTGGCCTCACCAGTGCTGAGTCCAGGGACAGAATCGCTTCCCTGGTCCTGCTTTCGAGACAGAGAGAAGCGAGATCACTTTTTTAATCAAGAGCAGACTAATAAAATTGCAGCACACAGAACTGGGTCACAGGCAGGAAACACAAATGTTTCTTATCATGGGGTTGGGGGTTGGGGTTTTTTTGCGGATAAACTCTGCTTTGTGGCTAATGCCTCAACACCAGACTCGCAGCTGCTCCATCCCCTGTGGATTTTGACTATTCCTGTGCTTAGGAGTGATCTGTAGGGGAAATAGCTGTATCAGAGGTGCTGTGAGAGCAGGGATGGCTCTCACAGGTGAGAACTAGACCACTGGTACCTGAAAATTTCCAGCCTCCGCTGTATCCTGCATGCAGGTGATGCCCTCGGGACAGGGATGAAACGATTCCTCTGCCCCTTGAGGACTGAACACAGGCTGTGAGGGAGTGGGTGGCTGCAAAGTTTTGCAGGCAGAGGGACAAAGGAGCAGGGGAGGGGGTTAATCCTGTGACCTCGTGTGTCCTTTACGGATTCCTGATGACCAGAGCTCGCTCACGCCAGATGGCAGAGGGTGCCCCAACCATCTGCCACACACAGGATGGCACTGGCTGCTGATGGAATGGAAATACCCTTCCTACAGGGCTGGTGGGAGCAGCACCAGCCCATTCCCACAATTTTCAGTGCTGGAGACTCACATGGGCTCACATCCCATGTGTCCTCCTCCTTCCCTC